ATATATATATATATACATATATATATATATATATATATATATATATGTATGTATATATATGTATGTATATATATATGGGAAAAAACCCAATCAAACTCAGCTTGACTCAGCCTGTCATCTCTTCAGTGAGTTGATAAATTGAGTTGTAAGCATGGGGGGGGGGACTAGACACTGGGAGTTCAGCGTTTTGCTGACCACCCAACTGAAATATCTGCTCGTGCACCCCAGAGCCCAAGATCAAGAGAACTGAAATGGGCTCAGTAGGCTTTGGCCCTCTATGGGCTGTCATGCCACTGAGTTTAGTTTAATAATATATTTCCAAAGGCAGGTTTAAGGCTTAGCTACACAAAGGGAAATTGTCAATTTGCAATGTATATGTATCACTACTATTTAGGAATTTGACTGTTTTTGTGAATTGCACTGCAGAATTTAATGTTTTTGCTCCTTCAAAACTCCTATTATATTTTTTTAATAAAAGTTAAAAAATGTGATGTGGGTCAAAATCAAAAGAAGAAATTAGCGTTTTTTTGTTAAGATTTTTTTCCTAGTTTAATTTTTTTAAAAATCTATTTTTAGGAGTATTAGAAATTCCAGATAGTATAAAGGGATGCAAGTGCCTTAATGCAATTGATGCTAGTGTGAATCCTTTAGGAAAGTAAGGAAGTAATTTTTTGAATAATTGTAAAATATTCCCTTTTGTATATCTTTTTTAATTATATTATTAGTACATTTTCTGTATTTTTTATGACTTTTAATTATTTAATTTTTTATTTGTTTTTGGAAATTAGTTTTTTATTGTGTTATTGCTTATGAATAAAATGTTAATAAAAATAATTTTCCTTCTGATCATTGCTGTGCCTAATTTAGTTTGATTTGATTTCACTGAAGTTTCCTTAAATGTGAAATAAAAAATATTTTTCTTCAGAAGTATTTTATTATTAAATATCATCTAGTTTTGGAAAAAAGAAATTCTTTTTAATATAACTGTTGGTGTAACTGTTTTAAAATTATAGAAATTCATTTTCTCAGATATTTGCATATAATTTTTAGTTAGTAGCGAGATAAAAATGATTGTTAATTATGAAACAAATAAGTGTTTGTATGGGCATTTTAGATTTGTAAAATTATTTTTGAAATATGCATAATACAAAAATAATTCAATTTAATTATTCTAATAATTTTTTATCTGATTGTAAGCATTTTGTTTTGTTATTACTTACTGACAAAGAAAGTTTAATATTACTTTAAAGGAAAACTTTTCTTTTGTATAAGAAGTTTAACAATCATAATGTATGATAATTTTTTTAATGTCATCTTACATAAATTTTATCATTTTTCACTGTCCTTTGAGAACAAACATTGATTGTAAAATTTGAATTATTCTTGAAGCAAGATATTGTTTTTTAAACATATTTACATTATGCATTTTTGAAATTGAAATTGGTCAATAAAATTTACAGTGAAATGAAAGAAAATAAAAAAAAACCACAGTTAGTAAAAGTTTAAAAATTTAGTTAGTAAAAATTAAGACATTTGAAAAATTATTCAAACGCAACTATTATTTTATGTTGTCTTTTTTCATTAATTGCTTTTAAAAATTTGAGTAGGATTTCATTAATTGTTATCATTATTGGATATAATTTCAGTCAAAAATATTTACCCCAATTTAATGTATTTTTTAAAATTAAAGTTTCATCAAAAACTATTATAGCACTTAAAAAAATACATTTTTTTAAAGTATGTATTTGTCACAAATTATGTTATGAACTATTTATTCATTATGCATTTTATTGAACAATATAGAAAAATGTCTTCATTTCTGTTAATATCAATATAAAATCGTATATAAAATAGTAAAATTTGTTATTTGTTTTAGACTTCCTGAAGGATTCACATTTCTTTTAAACCTTCAAGAATTATATCTTAATGATACGTTTTTGGAATACCTCCCTGCAAATTTCGGAAGGTAATGTACACAATTTTGCTTAGTATATATTTATAAAGTTTTTGAAACACATGTTACTTATTGTAAAAATTTGTATATTTATTAATAATTTTTCCTACAATTTTAAAAATTCGATTTTTTTAAAAAAATATTTTAACTTTTTCTGTTGTAATGTTTATTTTCCAACATAATTATTTGAAATATTTATTAAAAAAATTATTATAAAATAAATAATAATGATGATGATGCCCGGTGGCTGAGCGGTAGCGCTTCGCTCTGTCGTGTCACAGGTCCCTGGTTCGATCCTCAGGCCGGGCAAGGTTGACTCAGCCTTTCATCCCTTAAGTGGGTAGACAAATGAGTACCAAGCATGCTTGGGAACTAAACACTGGGGGTTCCGCGTTCGGCTGACCACCTGAGAGGAACATCTGCTCCTGCACCCCAGAGCCCAAGGTCAAGAACACTGAGATGGGCACAGTAGGCCTTGGCCCTCTAGGGCTGTCGCGCCGCTGAGTTTAGTACTTATTAATCATTTTTATAATTCTTACTTTTATATATTTGTGAACATTAACAAATAAATAAATAAAAACTTTATAATAAATTAGGTAATGGCCGAAAATGTTTTTGTTAATTTTATTTCCTTCTCATATGGCAAAATTTTGCAAAAATTGTTTTTCTAATTTTTGTATACTTATTTTTAACACAAAAGAACTTTTTTTAATAACTTAGTGACAATATTTTGAAAATTATATAAACGATTAAAACTACATTTTTTTAAAAATTGAAATATAGTTTCAATACATATGAATAATTAGATTGTTTGATAAAAATAATTTTATATCAGAGATTTTGCCTGTCTCACAAGCATACTGTTTTAACTTTAGACAATTTTTAGTTCTTTGTATATTCCAGTTATACATTTTGTCATTTTGCTGATGTTTGCAATATATCTTTTAACTGTAAATAGTTTTATATTGAATTATAGTTTTATTGTTGATGCTGTGTATAATTAAATGAACAAATGTTTTATAATTTAAAATGTTTTAAGGGTGCATTAATTTTTTGTTTTAAAATTGTAATCTCATAGGTTAGTACATTTGAAAATTTTGGAGCTAAGAGAAAACCATCTAAAACTTCTTCCAAAATCTATGGCAAGACTCATTGAGCTCAATAGATTAGATATTGGACAAAATGATTTTGCAGATTTGGTAAGAACTTGATTGTTTTTTATTATATAAATCACAATTTTTTTAAAAAGAAAAATTTATTATTTTCAAATGTTTAACAAAAGTTTTTCCAGAAAGTTGAAATTTTTTTTTTTTTCTAAACTAAGTTTTATGTTTAAAATTAGACACTTTTATTATTCGTTTTTGTTGTATTTCAATTTTAATGTATGATCAGTTATTCATCTAAATATGTATGCTTCTCTGTTGTTGAAGCTATTGATAAATTCAAGAATAATTTTTTTCTGTTTGTTCATCTGATATTTTTATAAACTTAAGAAGATTGCATCATGATTTAGCATAAATTCAAAATTTTAGTCCTTATATGTTTTTCTGGTTACGCTCAGAAATCTTTTTCATTGTGTCTTATGTATCAAATATTATTAATGGAATATTTTAATGTGTTTAAAGTTTGGTAGTGTTATAAAAAACTTACTTTGCTGAATAGAGTAGGGAAAAACTGTACATTTATAATTTTTATTTAAACTTACTTTATTTTTAAGTTCATATGATATAGTTAAATCCTCAAATCAATACCAGTCTATACCATTTTATAAAAATGACTGTTAACACAGCTTTTTACCTTTATAGGAAACAAAGATTTCCATCAACTTAATTTTTGAATAGATTACTAAATAAAATAAATTAGTGATCACTTTTCTCTGTTGAACATAGAAAAAACTAGTTTGTTTCGAAAATAAGTCTATGGATCAAATTTATAGCAGGTTAAACAAATTTTTTTAATGTATTTTGATAATCTTGCTTACGATATCTTGGTTGATCTTGCTTGGTAAGAGATATTGGTAACTCATTTGAACATTATTTTTAGCTTGCTCATATAGCCTGCGTTCTGTACTTTTAAAATTTGCACATGTTTTCTTTTTGGAACCAGCCTGTATAAAAAATATCTATTGTACAGAGCTCTGTCACTTTTTCAAAGTTCTTTGGATAATTCTCATATCAATTAAAAATAATCACCGTTAAAATGATTAATTTCATTGTATATATTGTTTTTTTTTTAATATTGTTTGGTAAGGTATGCATTGTTTAGTTTTAAATATATTCATTATAAACTGTGGTAGTTCAGGTACCTGGTATGTTAAGCAGACCAGTTACAGTGAACCAGATTGGCCCTCTGTTATGAGGAATGCGGTAATTTTTAGACTCCTATAATATANTTACAAGATAAAGGTGCATCAATTGCAATTTTAATTATTTCTAGTATCCATGAATTTAAAACCTATTCTACGTTGTGTAAGTATTTCAAAAGATGATTTTCTATTTAACGAATTTTCCATATAACGAACTTTTTTTCGGGATTTAGCGACTTCGTTAAATAGAGGTCCGACTGTATATTCATTATAAACTGTGGTAGTTCAGGTACCTGGTATGTTAAGCAGACCAGTTACAGTGAACCAGATTGGCCCTCTGTTATGAGGAATGCGGTAATTTTTAGACTCCTATAATATATCATATTTTGATTAATTTCAATAAAATTTTTAAGAAAAATATGCTTCATAATTAGTTTTGTTATAATTACTTCCTCCCCCAATTTTTTGTCTACGTAACAGTAAAAAATTTTAACATTAAGGTTACTCTATTGCATATTATATATCTCTCAATTCTTTCACCATAACTTCATATTTTTTTCCTTTACTGACTTAACTACTTCATTGTTTGCATTGTTTTCTCATTTAGTTATCACTATAAATAGCAGATTAATTCTTACTGTTGGTTAACAACTGCAGTTAGTTTATTATGAATATTTGCTTATTGAATAGGATAAAGTATGCAGTTTTACTGTTTTAACACTCTCAAGAAAATATAATAAGTTTTATTTTAATTAATTGTAAATAGGATAAATAATATATTTTTCTCTGCTTTTCAGCCTGAAGTTATTGGAAATTTACCAAGATTGGTTGAGCTATGGTGTGATAGTAATAATTTAAATTGTCTTCCACCAGTAAGTGTAAATCCTATTAGTTTTCTTTTTTTTTAAAAAAAAATACCTTTTCTTTTGTACATTCTTAAGTAATTTATTGCTTGCAAATGGAATTAAATATCCTTGAGCGAACATGTAAGTTTTAAAGAATATAATCTAATTAAGAAATTGATGAAATTTGATGACATTTTTAAATAAAGATGTATGTCATGCAAAAATATCTTTAAAAGTATACACACATGATCCCGTGCTTAAACTTAACGAAGTAAACCATCTCTCAGGTAGAGTTAGGCTAATATGGACTTAATTTAAGTACCTTTAAATTTAAAAAAAAAACTATTAATTATTCTATCTTAATTTTATCGGCATCACGAGAGCCTCATTAGTAATCCTCCCTTTTTTAAATACATCATTGAAAAGTTCATAATAAATGTAGCTTTTATTTCAGTTATATTTTTTTATAGAAAATAAAAAAAACTTTTCTATTTTAGATATTTCCTTATTTACCATCATGCTTTAACTTTTACATTTTTTTTTTCAGTTTTTGGGAGGTCTAAAAAAATTAGCCTATTTAGATGCAAGTAAAAATAAAATATATGAAATAGCAGATGAAATTGAAGGCTGCATTAGTCTTTGTGACCTGACATTGTCATCTAATCGAATCAAAGTACTTCCTGAAGGCATAGGTATGATACTATTATATAAATCTTTTTTTTTCCTTTTTTTTAATTTTATTTGTCTGAATAATTTAAGCTACAACAATTGCCCTTTAATTTTGAGTTTAATTTAGTGTTATTTGTTTTTTATCTAAATAAGACATATAATACAACTTTAATATAATGAGCCTTTACATTCATTACTTAATAATAAATTACTTTTTTTAATTTTGATGACTTTTATTGATCTATTTGGAATACAACGACTTCATGTATTATTTAAAAAAAATCTTAATAATGTGTTTATGCATGTTATTAATTTAAATGAATGTTAAATTTTCTGACTTGAAATTGTTTTCCCCAGCTAATTTAAGGCGACTGACAGTTTTACGAGTAGATGAAAATCGCATTATTTCAATACCTCAAAACATTGGAAAGTAAGTCCATTTGTTTTTAGAAATCTTAGTAAATAAAGGATAAATTTAATTTCTTTATTAATAAAGTTATTGTGTTTATTTTATGTGCTATATGTTATTTATTAATGCTGCATAGATCTTTATACCTTTTTGTATTAAATAAATTGTTTGAGTTGGTACAATCTTTTACGACGGAAGTTTTTTACTTATAATTTAAGAGAAGTTTATTTGCGGCGGGCTAAAATTTATTTTAAAATGTTTTACATTGCTAATATTCTAGCTAAATAGTTTAAAATTGTGTAACATGTACTATTTGGAGCAAAAATTTAGAACAAATTACTTAAAAGGTTTAGCTTTAAAGTCTAACATTTTAAATAATATGATGATTTTATTAAAATTCTGTTTGAAAGTTTTGCACTATGCTATACCAAGTTAATATTTTCCGCATGGATCTTTGAGATTCTATTTACTATCCACTAAAATCTATTCTCCTTTCCTTTTTTTTTTGTTTCAGTTATATATCTTGAATTTGTAGCATAGTATCTGCCATTGCTTTTAAAATTTTTATTAAAAATGTAATTGTTTGTTTGATAGTATTAGATGATCCAATGTCATGAAATTAAACTTATCAATATTTAAAATTATTTAGTCAATGTTATTCAAAATAATTTTGGGGCAATTTGTTTCAAAATTTAACTGAATTAAACCTTGAATTTTAGTTTATGAAATAATTTGTGTTAATGTGTACCAATTTTTTCAAAAAATTTATGATTTTTTTGAAAATTATAATATTTAAAATTGAAAGAAAGAATTTTGCTATTTCATTATGACTGAAATTGTTTTTAATAATGATAAAAACTTAATTTTGTAACGCAAGCTTCTGTTTCAATTTAGCTTTTTAAGTTTGTTTCTTTCTAAGTTTGTTTATTTTTTTTATGAGAGTATAAAAATCTGAGAAATAATTATAATTTTTGTTTAACTGCATTTACCCCTTTTTAAATTCTGAATATTTTGCAAGATTATATACACACATATATGTATATATATAAAAGTTTGGAGAAATTATTAATATTAATAATTTTTCCCAACTTAAGTAATTAAATTCTATATAAAATCATTGGGTTAATTGTATGTTATTGTAAATAAATTCACTAAACACCTCTTTGTTTCTTTGTTAATTTATATAGTTTTTACCATGTGCAAATCCTTTTCGTTCGAATCTTTGGCTAAAAATATGTGTAAAACAGGCAATTCATGTTTCTTTCTTTCTCTCTCTCTCTCTCCCTTTTTTTTTCTTCTTAAATCAAAGTTAATTTTCTAAAATCATTAAAATTGTTTAATTAAATATCAACCTTGTTAATTATAAACTTCTTTAAAGTATATAGTATAATATCTTACACACATCCATTTTCGGGGCCGATCCTTAGTATTTAACAAATCAAACGTGCTTCAGCACTGCAGTAAGAAAGCACTATAAAACAAAATCGATGTATTTACTCTTTTACCTCAATTTGCGCTTCTGTTTTCATAGTTTATAATCTAGTAATTTTATTGCGAAAATATTTTAAATCATTCTTCAAAATTTTCTCTTTCATGTAAGTTTATTTTAATTCGTTACTCGCTTATAGATTTTATTTTATGTTTTGTTTTTTCTTTATATTTTATTTTCTGTTTTTAATGTGATATTTATTACTTAATGTGTTCAATTCAATTTTGTTTCAAAAAAGTTTTTTGAGTGCTCCTCACACTATTGTATTGATATATTTTGCTTTGGCTGTATTGATACTATATTAGAAAGCACTCCTTTTTGCAGTTATAATTGTGGGAGCTGATGAAGAGATTATATCTTTTCTCTTTCCCCCAAATTTGTATAAAATTTTATAAATTTTTTTCAAATTTTTATTTTTTCATTATTCTGTAATTTTCCCCATCTTTTCTCTACATTTTCCTCTACATATTGTATGTATATATATATTTTATTTTCTTCTTTTTTTATATATATATATAAAATATTCACATATTTATACTCTATTTTCAGTCAGTCTCTTGTATTCTAAAATCTACTTTCTTTAATTATCTGTTGTTATCAATAGGAGTTAAAGTTTCGGTAATAACTTGTTTCTCTTCTTTTACAGCTTGTGCAATTTGGAAGAGCTAGTCTTGAGTTCAAATAATCTAAAAAGTTTACCTCCTAGTCTTGGATTACTTCGAAGCTTAAGAACTTTGATTGCTGATGATAATTTATTAGAGGAGCTTCCATCTGAAGTAATTAAAACATTCAATTTTTAATTTAACATTTGGCAAATCCAATTAAAACAAAGCTGCATTGAGAAGAAACTGTTGTATATATAAATTCATGTTCCATTCAAGCTATTTTTGCAATATTTGTAAATGTTTTTCTTTTCTAGATTGGCAGCTGTCTTAAACTCACTATTTTGTCTCTTCGAGATAATAAGTTAGTTCATATTCCTGATGAGCTTGGGCATATTACTGCATTAAAAGTTATCAACTTGAGCGGTAACCTTTTACAGTACTTGCCATTTAGTATAGCAAAGTTGCCAAATCTACAAGCACTGTGGCTTTCTGAAAATCAGGTATTTATTTCCAAGAGAAATGTTATTTGTAGTACTTAAGCAAGGTCCCCCAAGGTCCAATCAAAATTTTATTATAATGTTTGTTTTTAATTATTATTAGTATTGTTTATTTCTTTATTTTTTTAAAGAAAGTTGCAGAAAATTCTTTTTTATCTGAATACAAAGCTACTATTTTGAAAAAAAGAGTCTTCAGAAACTCTACAAAATATAAAAATAATACTTTTTATTCTTTGAGGAAGGAGTCTTGCTATTAATATTAAAATTATCCTGGAGCTGGTAAAATCTGTGTCCAGCCTTGAATCTGAATATGGTTTTTTTCTGTTCTTTAAATTTTGGGCTGGGATAGCCTGGTTGGTAGGGCACTGGGCCCATGTCCAAGAGGTTGTGGGTTCGATACCCGCAGGCCAAAGACTTCCTGTGTAGTAAATGGTGACTGATGTACGTGAAATCTGTCGATTTACAAAGTCCTCTATGTTCCCGTAACAAATCATACCTCTGGGGGTACTGATTCAGGAGTTTCCTTGTCTTCTGAAATGGTTCAAAATTACAAGACTGTTGAGTATTAGTAGTCATAAACTGAAAGCAATTGGGTCGGCTGTTCAACGATGGATATAAAAAATAAAATACATTAAATTTGTTTTGCATTTTTATTAAAATGTTTATCAAAAATATGGTGTGCAATTATCTGTATTCAAATCTTCTTTAAGTAAAAATCTCCCATAACAGATAATTATTGGTCATGGAGGTTAAAGCTCCAAAATTTTGAGATGAACTACATGATGGCTGAAATGTGGTCTGCATTGTAACCAGTTGCCTTAATTTTTTTTTTATTCAAAAATTTTTATAGCATTTTCTGCCCCTCCCCCAAATTTTTTTGGTAATTCAGAATTAATTTCTTGTCTTTGATATATTACTTTCTGCAAAAAAGTTTTTTGGTCTCTGATTATAGTTTTCCTATTTTATTTAAAGTAAATACTATCAATAAAGAGAACTCTAAAAATCACAAAATACAGAAAATTTGTTTCAAGAAAATGTTATGGAAACTTATAGTCTATTTTGTATGAATTGTTATGGATTTCAGTATCAATTGTTATCTTGTAACAATTTCTATAGCGTTAAAGCTCAAAAATTTTGAGATTAACTTCATGATGGTGGAAATGTGGTCTGCATTATGACCAGTTGCCTATTATTTTTTTATTCAATGTTTTTCGTTAGAATTTTTCTTCCCGACCCCCAAATTTTTATAGTAATACAGAATTAATTTCTTTGAATGCTTACTTTGTGCAAAAAATATTTTTGGTCACTGATTATAGTTTTCTTAATTTTATTTAAAGTAAACACTATCAATAAAGAGAACTGTATACGTCATAAAAAAATACAGAAAATTTGTTTCAAGAAAATGTTATGAAAACTGATAGTCTGTTTCGTGTGAATTTTTATGGATTTCAGTACTTTATGTTGTAATGATTTCTATAGTGTTAACCCCTTATTTATAAGCTTGTGTGAAGTTATAAGTGAGAAAATCAAAAATTATGTAATGACATTTGTTAATTTTATCTTATTTGCAAGTTATCCTTTATGGTACAGTAGGGAACCGATTATCCGGAACGATCAGGACCTTCGTCATTCCGGATAACTGATTTTTCCGGTTTTCTGAATCGCTACAAAAAAACGTTTTTTCTATTGTAAAACCCAACTAAAAAAAAAATTGGAAATAATCTTAAACAGAAAAAAAAAAACGATGAAGTAATACACTAATGATTATTTCCAAAATGATGGTAAAGTAAACATCTTTCAAGAAAGAATGAAAAATCCTAAAATTTTATAAGGAAAAAAAAAATTTTAAAAATGGCGGAAAAATTTATTGAATTTTGTTCCGGTTTTTGGGTTTTCCGGTTTTCTGATTTCCGGATAACGGGTTCTGTACTGTATATTATTTGTTAGTATAAATTGTGTTTATATTTTCAGAATAAACCTTTGATCCCCCTTCAATCTGATACTGATAGAGCAAGTGGTATAAAAGTTTTAACATGTTTCATGCTGCCACAAGTACCTTTAGATGAAGGTCAGTACACATTTATAATTATATGGTAGAAAATGCATATTCTTAATAGATTTTTAGCAGTATATTACCCATGCATTTCACTTTTGCAACTTTTTACCATTTACTAAATGGAGCATTTTTAACACTTTGCCACTTTTTAAGATGTTTGGGTTTTTTATTTAACTTTACTTTATTAAATAACCTTTTTTTAAATTTAATTAAAAGTAATTTATTTAAACCTAACTAGTCTTAAACAAATGTTGGTCACTTTCAAGAGTTTTATTATATTTCTTTCAGTTTTTTCTTCTTATTTTTTTTACTTATATTAATCAAGTGGCAGTTTTTAACCCAACCCAGATGTGACATTTTCTCTGAAAATTATTCCCTAACTACTCATTACTTTTTCAGTGGATGTATATTTTTTCGATGAGTTTGATATTTCTTTAAAAGTTGCTTATTTTTGCTATTATTGTAGAAGTCATTGATGTACCTGATGTTGAGGTTGGAGTCAAAGACCCAGAGAAGGGTAGACCAATAATAAAATTTGCTTTTGATGCTGAAAAAGACCAACCAGTAAGAAATGTTATTTTCATTAAAGTAGTTAAGCACTTAGTAACCAGTTATGTGATTTTTCTGCTAATATACAAATTCCGTGAATTAATAATTTACATTCCGACAAAATTTTCTCGGAGATCCGCTAATCAAAAATTTAAATTTAGTTGCTTACGCAAAATCTAGTTAACAAGACATTTATACTACCCTTACCTTTGACATAGAAATTTCGAAGCCGAATTGCGCATATCAACGTGCTTGATACCATCATTAATTGTTGTTTCAATCTCCTTTTTTTTTTCAGTTAATGCAATTGATTTTTTTCATTGTTTTTAAAATTATGATGTTATTATGACACGCAAAGTTCAATTCCTCTATTAGTCATTTTTAATGCGAACAATACCACAGTTTTTTCGATCAAACTTTTCGCATTTGCTACAGATATCCGTTTTATAAATCCCAATTATATTATTTCAATGTTATTAAAAAACTAGAAATTCTTGTTGCACATTTGTGTTATTACTTTTTTATGTGCTGTATTTTTTTCTCTAAATCCATGCGTTATTTCGATCGAAGTTTTTTTCTTGACAGTTATAGCTGTTGATTTTCATGTAATTGTTTTAAAATCTCAATATTATTATTGTACGGTAGATTTAAATAGCGCACCAGAATATTCACTATTTGGCGCAATAATTTTAAAATTTTTGCAGTCCATTTTTCGGCTGTTATTGCTACTGATTTCCACATATTTTTTAAAATCTGACATTTTCAATGTGATATTATTTATTACAACACGTGGATCTTGAACATACTTTTAATTAACCACTTCTTGACGCTTCAGATGGTGAGATTTCATCGTAAATACCCATGGTTTTAACATCAATCTTTTTTTCAGTTATTGCCAGAAATTTTACTAATTTTAATTTTTTTAATATTAAAATTATATATTCTTATATATATTCTTATATATATTATTATATATATTCTTTTATTCAAGTGAAAAAAATTATTAAATTAAAAAAATTTTGTTTCACTCTTTAAAAGTTCATAAATGTAACTTTTGTGTGCAAAAATGAGTTTCCTATCTATCTTATATGTATAGAAAAAAAAAATTTTAATAAAATTTCAGATAATTTTTTCTTCTAGTAATCACATTTATGATTAACTAATTTCTAAAACATTAGTATAGCTTTTCATTGAGTTAATTGTTGCGATTTTCAACATTAGTGTATTTTAGAAATTCAAATTAAATTTTGAACTTACTTTCTTAAAATAAATTTTTTTAAAAAAAAAGCGTTTAAATGCAAGAAAAGAAACTGTCTGTGTGAAATACAATAATCTCGGTAACAATGGTTTTTCATTCATAATTCATGAATCCCTATTTCTTAAGTATCCATGTAAGAGGAGTTAGTTGAATAAGTTATAATAAAATGCTTTATAACTGAAAAATATTTTTAATAACAGTAGCGAAGAATGATGTTAAAGTTACAGTGAGTGAATTGAATCTGAATATTTATAAATAATACATAACTGTGCATAGCGCCATCTGTGAGAAATATTATTAATTATAAACAGCTTGAAACCGCTATTACTAAAAAGTTGATATTATACATTGTAAATGATCATTTTATGATTTGAATAAAGTTAGATATTATAACGTTAAATATCCAAAATTTGAAGTGTTTACAAATTTTCATGTGAGAGTGGTCTGTGGTAAGTAAAATGCAGAAATTTCTGTTAAATTTTAAAAGTACAGTAAGACCTCGATTATCCGAGTTAATTGGGACCGCTAGTAACCCCGGATATCGGTAATCTCGGTTAATAGGAACCATGTATAAAAACCTTCCGTGCTAGCGAATTTAACTACTTTTAAAGTAAAAAACAATAGAACGTTTTTTAAATGATAAAAATAAACATATATGAACTTATGTTTCACAGTTAAGAAGACTTAAAAAGGAAATCAACTCTAGTAGTAAATTTTGAAAAGTAAAATGGATTTTTTTTTTAACTATACTTAGTTAAATATCGAAAGACGCATTTTCAAAAATAACACAAATCTCAAGAAAATATTGTATTTTTAAAATTTACATGATTAAACTTACAAGTCACATGACCACTGTTAACAAAGCATTCATGGATGTTTTCTTCTCAGGGTGTAATATTTCATGGAAGTTGAGTGCTTTTGTGGGGAATAAGTGCCTGTAACACGGACAACGAACTTATATGTGTATAATTTCTTGCAAGCTCATTTTGGAGAGGAGAAAAAAAAATTTAGACTTCGTTATTGCCTCGGTTAACAGAAACCTCGGTTAATCGAAGCTCGGTTAATCGAGGTTCTACTGTAATAGTAAATAATTTAATATCATTTTTAGGTAAATATATGCTATATGCTTTTAAAGTACCAAATATTCTTTATTTTGACTCGATTGTTATAATCGAATTTTAATGTTTCTTCCCATAAGTTTATGAGTCTCCATAATTGTTCCATGGTTTGTAGTTCTTGTGTAGTAAAATCTCTAATCATTAGCTTGTGAACTTTAATGATATGCTGTATTAATTCCAGCTAATGCAGCTGAATTAAATTTAGAATTTAAGCTTTAACACAGGTTGTTTGTTTTTGAAAGAAAAAGATCTATTAAAATTTCAATTAAAGCTAGCTTTATGGCACAAATAGATATAAGTATTATTTACTCACAGACATTTGCATTTTTCAAATAAATAATTAATAAAAGTTGATAATGCATTTTTATAGTTGATGCTCTCAGCATTGATGTTTTTAAATTTTATACAATAGTTTTTATTTCATAACATACCTTTGAACATTTGTCTAATATCTATTCTATTCTATTTTGAATATTTATCTAGTATCTATTCTATTTTGAATATTTGTCTAATATCTAATTCTATCTAATATCTATTTTGTTCCCATATATTTAATATTAATTGTTTTTATATTCTGTTTTGATTTCTAGAGTAGATTAGTTCGTGCACCCACACCTTATCCTAAAGAACTTAAGGCTCATGCTCGTCATGCAAGAAATTTTGCTCTGAAAAAGCACGGGTCGAAAGATTCTGAAGGAAATGATGTAGCCAATGAAGCAGCTCCGGTAATTTGAAATTTATTGCATTCAAATAATAATATACGTGACTTTTAATATCGTTCTGTTTTAATAGGTTAATTTATTCATTTGAATTTATCTTTTTTAATTTTATTTTATTTTGTTCCAAAAAGCTTAAGTCTGATAGATTTTATTGTTTTCTACTGATATGGCTATTAAACTCATTATTATTTTATTTATTTATTATTATAGTTTGAAACTTTATAAGCTGTCTGTCAAGGATCTTTAATAGCTTTTGCAAATTTTGTTAAGCTTATTTTTTTTTTGTGAAAAAATTTAATGTTTGTGATTTTACCTGACATTTTCATTCATTTAATTTTTCTGTTGAAATTTATTACTTTGATATCTTTTTTCTGTATTAAACTTTAATTGTCAAAATTTTTTTATGTTGATAAAATATGTTAATTGCATGTTATCTGTCAACTTACACACTTTTTTGTGAATCACTTTCTTTTCAACTTTTATTACAGCTAATTAATCATTATCACGCAATATACAATAAAAAATAATCCGATTTTTGGAAAAAGTTTCATGTAACTATCTTTTTTTAAAAAAATACATAAAACTATGTTTTGTACATAGAAATAAATGCATCGTTGTTTGTTCATTGAGGGGTATATTAATTTTAGGTAGTTGACGAGAATGAAGGCTTGCATGCTACTGGGGCCACACCTGATATTATGATTTTACCCACGACAGTATCAAATGAGTCAAATACTCCAGGCGTTAAAGAAGCTGTTGTTGCAAGACCAAAATCACCTCTAACTTCACCTTCCAAGCATGAAAGGCATTACATTCCAAATGTTAAGGTAAAAACTATTTACAAGACATGTTTTAAAATAATTTATTTTAGTGCTAAAAATAATGTAATCAAATGTAATAGCAATGATAATCAAATAAAAATAGAAGTAATCAAAAATAATAATAATCAAATTGTAACCCACTTCTCATTTTTATGCTTGTACTATTTTTTTTAAGTAGTAATAACAGTAAATCATTTTTAAATCAATTTATCATCATCAAAATTAAGTAGTAATAACATTAAATCATAAATACTTAATCAAAATCATGAAAATATTTAGCTAAACATGTTAGTTTTGCTGCATTTTGCAAGATATTCTCAATTTCAGGCTTCATTTTCCACCCTTTGATATCGAACCAAAAAACCTCTACATCTTTTTATAATGGCTAATATAGTGAAGAAAAGAGTTTTTTTTTTATTTATTTTTTTATCAGAAACTGGTTATTTTATCATGATCATGTAAAGTCGTTGAAAATTATTTTGCATTTTGTTAATGTATATAGTGCTTAAAAAGTACTTAAGAGGTGCTTATTTTTTGTTGAAAATTTGGCTACGCACCCTGTATATACATGTATATTAATATGTATGTGCTTGTGTTGCAGAATTTATCATCACAAGAAGAAATGAAACAACACTCATTTTTGGAACAAAATCCTCTACAGGTAATTTCTTTAATAAAAATATATAACGGTCAGTACAGTTTGATTTTTTTTGTATAAATAAATAATAATTTAAATATATTTTTTTCTGTTTTGTTAGGTTAGCCAAGTGGTTAGTTCTGACATTGCTTCTGAAATTAATGCTAAAATATTAGGTAGACGTGGTAAGTATAACCTGTTTAGTTTTATTTTATTTAACCTCACTGTTATTTTTAAAGAGTAACAGTAATTGGTAATGATTTTATCATTTGCGATTAGGATGTTATTTAATTTGTAATTATATACAGAATAATTTATATCTACTAAATAATATATAATTACATAGTTTCATGAAAAAAGCTATACATAAATTAAGAGGTTTTTTTTTATGCTATCAAATATTTTATGTGCAATAGTTATGAATCTGAATGTAAAGTTTAAATAGCGAAAGCGTGAAAATAAAATATGTTTTAAAGATGTTTTTGTATTGTAATTTTTTATTTTTTTTTATTCGTTAAAAGTTTTAAATGAAGTTTTTTTTTAAATTTTTTTAAAAATAATTTTTTGTAGATTCTACACTTTTGGGGCTTAACTTTTGAGTATTCAAAGTCAATATCACACAAACTTTATCGATTCTTAATTTCTGCAAAATTATCCTAGACTAGAAGCTAAAAAGTCTGGTTTTACTACATTTGGCCCTCCTGAAATATATCACATTATTTTGGATACCGCTAAGAATTAAATTGGGGAAGGTATTTATTATCGCTGCACACATCTATACGAGTGAAGCTATTTTATAGTTAGATATCATCTTCAGATTATCAGAATTATATTTGTACTAAAACATAAAATCTAAAAAAAGTGGAATGACAAAAAAAATTTCATTCATATTCAAATGTTTATTAATAATTAATTTTGTGAATTAAAGAAATATCAATGATGAATATCTGTTTTTCTTATATCTAAATGAGTGCAAATTTGAGAAATTATTGTTTGAAAATGAGCCTTGTTTGGAAGATTTTATTTTTTATACGGAAAAAGACACTGGTGCTTAATGCTCTATTTCATAACCATAAGTGATTAAAATGATAAATGTGATATTTTCCACCTATTGTAACCTAAATTAACACAAATTAATGAAAAAAGTATGAAAAAAATGTTTTATAAAAAATCTGCTTCAAAGGGTTATCAGGTGTACTAACTTTAAGAGAAACTGGTGTTAATCACACCTGTGGGAGGGCATATAAGTAATGAAAGGTTTATGCCTCATGAAAACATATCCAGAAATTGATTGCCCAAATTTCAAATGAGATATTCCACTATTTTAATCAGAGTAAGATACTTAGTAAATTTGATACTTATTATTTGCATAAATAAATCAAATTTTATTGTAGAATTTTTGACATTCTATTATCTTTTAACTACTTATTCAAAATATGTATGGAACAAGCTATAAAGAATATTTCTCTAGCATTCAGTTTAAAAAAATCCCATTAGTACTTGCTTTTTTATTATTTTAAATTCTTGCTTATGTCTTAGTGTAGTTTTAGAATATACAAGATCCTTCATCTTCCCTATCGTATCACCTTTGCAATGTTTTTATTTATTATGTAAAAGTTTTGGCAACTAAAATTACATGCCAGACTACATCAATTAAAATTATATTAAGTTATACTAAACATAATATAATTGCCATGTTTAAGGAATTTAAAAAGGGAATGTTCAAGACAATTATTAATATATAAAAAATTATTATCTTTGATAGTAATTTTTTTATATTTGCTCTGTTAATGTAATTTTTTTAGGGTCAAAGTTTTTAGTTTTTTGATGAATTTCCATGTTTTTAAAAGAACAAGAAAAAATTATAAGAGTAATATGTAGAAAAGGAAGTAAATAAAACTTTAGCAGAAAATGTTTTATGATGGATTTTACTAAGGTTTGGAGAAAAGTTCCTCCTTTTTTTTCGCATTGAATTGTGTGTACCAGTTTAAATGATATGGTATTCACACTGAGTTAAAATATTTTTTTTTCTCTTTTTAAAAATTTTAATTTTGAAAATGAATGAGTGAAGGAAAATCTCTAATTAGAGGATAAGTTCAGATAAATTAGGTTTTATTTAGATAAATTTGTGTCACATATTAGAAAGCAAATTAATATATTTAAATAATTTTAAGAGATTAATCAACCATCTTACTTATAAACTTGGGTTTCAAATCTTTCTTTAAAAAAATTTAAGAAAAATTAAGCCTTCAGAATTTTAGCAACTCTAACCCATAAATGCTTTTTATTTAATTTTGACTTAGATTATATTCACTTATTAATTGCGCAGTATTTTTTATTTAAAAGAAAATCTTTTTATTTATTTATTTATTTTGTAGATTCTCGAGGTGATGGGTCTAGTAGCGAAAACACCTCCACTTCAGCTACTGGTTCGCCCAAACTAACCCCAGATGGCGGCTTGAACGAAACTTACAGCCACTCTCAAAAAGCAGACAAAGATGGTCACTTCAAGAAAAACATTCCAACAGCTGGTAAAAGAGACACCTGGATGAGACAGCGACTTTTAAGACAAGGAAGCGGTGACAGTGACAGAGGATATCGTAGTGACCACGAAGTCTATCTTGCGGAACGAGATCAGTTTGGACAGCAGCAATGCTACCATGATGGCTATGCAAGCGACTGGGAGGCTTTTCTGGCAAAGCAGAGCTACGAGGGTCCTTCTAATCCAGATTCTGTTCATGGTGCACAACACTACAATCGAAGTTCCTTTCCACCCAATGATGTGGAATATCGGGGCCATGCAGAAGGCCAAGAAATCAAATCTGATGTCGAAAGAGATGGATATGTATACCCTTGGAATACGAGATTTCGATATCCTGATGAAAATCCATCTGGTTTAGTTGACGAGGAGTATCAAGCACGTATGACGCCACCTTATAATGGATACTATCAAATAGTAAATATTTCCTTTTTAAATATTACTTTAACGAATTTTCGATATTATACAAAGTTGGTCTTCAGTACATTTTTTTTTCTTTTCATGGTTATCCTAAGTTGGGTAATCTGTAGAATTCAAAACCAGCATTTTACTATCAACAATTTAATTTTCGTTTTATCTTTCAACAATTTGACTTTAAAATATACTCTAACAACAAAATTAAAATAATTTGTTAATCATTATCTAAAATATCAAAACAAAAAGCTTTTGAAAATCAGACTGAAAGTGTTAATTGTCTAAGAGATTATGTATGAATCTCAATAACTGTAAATTATAACTTATTATATGAAATATTGCTCCTTTGTAGGGCTTGAAATTAACATTGGTCTGTTTGTACGGGAATACTAAAATTAAACTCTGACCACGAATAAATAATAACCATTAGATAGTTTTTTATAGTTATATAGGTAATGTTTTATTTATATATATATTAATTACAAATTAATTCATTTGAATCATACATTTCAGAAATCTCATACCTGTAATAGAACTTTGGGTGAACTATAAGAATTTTTAGAATAAGCAAATCTATTAATGATATTATAATGTGTTTAGTGATATTAGGGGTCTGTCTAGGTTTTTCTGAGAGGTACCTATTTTGTGAAAATTTAGACACAATTTGTGAAAAATTAAAAATTATATTAAAAAATCAACACAAAAATATGGATTTATCGTTTATTAAGGGATAAAAAAATAAAATTTTAAGAAAAAGTATTTTGTGAAGCTACCATTTTTACTAAAGTTGAATTTGTGAAGATACCGTTAAACGGTAGTAAATTCGGCCTGAACAGACCCCTGGATATGTTTACAAAATGAAAAATTAAACCATTCTGTAAGAGTCTGTTGTAAGCCAGGGGTACATGGAAGTTACGGCTTCACAATTTTGTGATGTAGATTAGATACATTGAAAAATATTTTCATAATTTTTGTTCACGCTTAATCTTATTGCTTGATGTAAATTTGTAGGATCCAGTCTCAGGCCAGTTTTTTCCTGTGTATGACATGAGTCACTCATATCCTCCTGGTACTGATTCATCAACTTACATCTACGGTCGTAATCCCGGTGCTGAAGCTGCACCTCCACAGTCTTACTATGAAGATTGTGATGGATATAAGCACCCAGCATCACATTATTGGATGCCACCGCCCACATCAAATCCTCCTCCAATTCCTGCTACAAATCCTGGAACTTTACCCAGAAGATTAGGAGCTGCATCACCACGTCTCAAACGAGCACAATGTTTGAGTGTTCAGGCTCCTCTGCATGGAACACCACAAGAATATCATTTAATGCCCCACCAAGCTGTCCCAATGCATCCCTCAATGCCAAACAGTTCACCTCGACCTGGACGTTCACCATCCCCTGGCATCGAGAGCAGAGGGCCCGTTCCTTATTCTCCTCAACCCTACCAAAAATTCCCTCCTCACTTCCAACCCCAATATCCAGGTTATCCAATCACAACCCAACCTGTAAACTCAACGCATTTCCCACCTTCGATGTCAAACGTTCATCCTTCACAGTATCATGCAGCTCCCGTGTATCCCACAATGCCCACATCACCTAGAATGAAACTCCAGTCTCATATGTATCAAAATTCTGCTGTCGATGACTCAGCTTTGGTATCGAGACCTTATCCTATGATGCAGCATCCCAATCTGCACAATTCTCCGTATTACTCACCCAATCTTCGAGATCATTGCGGACCTCCTGAACCCTATAGCCATGTTTTTGGCAACACGGTCAATCCGGAAAATTTTGAAAGAGTTCAGGATGCTGAATATGGGACAATGACTTCTCCTACTTCCTTGCATTATCGCAGTGGTTCAATACCTGCTCAAATTCAAAGCATTGAAAATTGTGATGTAAATGCTGTGCAGCATTTAAATCGTTCTGTGCCAAGTATTAATATCATTCCAAGTACTTCACCACCTCGAACATCATATGTTATGGGGTCCGATGCTTGGAAAGGTATGAATAAATTTCCTTTTAAGTTCTGAGCAGTTTTTATGATCTTTATTTATTTTTATAAATATAATGTATAATGCAATACATATGCCATGCGATTTTTTTTTCTTTTTGATTTTTTAAAGTTAATTTTTGATTTTGGAAGAATTTTTTTGTTTTTTTGCACTTTTACAAATGAGTAAATTTACGAGAATGCTGACCCTTTTTACACTGTTTCCTTACAGAATATGATTAAAAAACTGGTTTTCTTTGTTGGGTGAAATTCTGTTACAATGAAGGATTGTCACAGGATTATTGCTTTTTTTTTAATAGCTCAATTTTGTTTTTGAAGAAGTTTTCTCATTTTAATTAGAAATATATAAAATTTTTACTTTGATTTAGCTGTTACCCTTTGATTCCGTTCGGTAAATTTATAAATGTGACCATAAATACACTATTTATTAAGAGGTGTAGTTTTGCTGCTGCTCATCAAGCCCCATGATCGAGGATGGATTAAAGGGGCCTAGACCCTAGATTATTGAAGGGCCCCACCAGGGGCCAACGTGAAATGCAATATGGGAAAAAAAAGCTCTTAATAGAAAAATAAAAGGAAATCATTTTATAAAAACATTTATTTAATCAGCAACCCTAATGTGGGGATTTTGTCACAAAAATGTGACAGTTTTTTATTTTAATTAACTTTTGTTAAACATAAAGGAATAGGATAAGAGAGAGAGAAAGAATCGAATTAATATAATATTCAATTTCTTTAATTTTGATAAGATATTAAATTTGTTTGGTAAATAGCTCCCCATTTTACCCATGAATCCCAAACCCTGTGACAATTTAATTCAGTTGTGCCTATGATTGTTGAGAGATTGTAATTAAAAGAGTAAACTACCTAGCAATGAGATATGAATGTTTGTTCCTTTGGTACTCGTACATTTATTGCTCTCCCCCCCCCCAATGTATTTTATTAAATTCTAAAATCCAATATCATATATTCTGAAAAAGATTTTCAAAAACAACCAAAATTTTTTTATTTGAACTATTAAGTACCTTCAGCATTTTACAGAATAAGAATATTTTTTTTGTTGCTACCTCTTTTGACTCTACTATTATCGTATAACCATTTTATCAAAAACAAAGTATTTCTACAAATTTTACAGTTGCATGCAAATTTTAATTGCATTTTTAATGTTTTGAGTTTGCAGAAAACGTTCTAAAATTTAGTTTTTTAAGTACATTTTTTAATACTTGTAGTATGTAAGCATACAAGTAATTGAATGAAAAAATAATATTTGTTATCAATCAACTTGATTTAAAAATAGTTCTCATTGTACTTACTATATTTTTTATTTTATTTATTAATTTTTTATTTTACTTAAAACTTTTGTATCAAGTTTCCATTATAAAACCAATAATTGTTTTCTAATACTAAAGTTTGTGAAACTTTGAAAGATTTTCATATCTTTAAAGTGGATATGAATTTCACGCCATAAAAACTATAATAATTCTCTTTAAAAACTTCAATATGAGATAACGTAATCATAAAGAGAACTATTTGCCATTGAATTGTTATTGAAGTCTGCTGACTTTTTCTGGGTATGTTCTTTGTAAATCTGGAATTATAGGAATGTATATGAATTAAATATCTATAAACGAGAAACTACTGTTTTTTTTTTTTTTTTATCTTTAATGAAATTAGAATTATTTGCCTTCCCTTTAGTTTCTAGATGTGTTTTCGCAAAGTTCTGACTGTTACTGGTAGCTATTTTTATTTTAATCATGATTGTCGAAACATTATCTCCAAACAAACAACGCTGCGGCTTAAATATTTTAATAGTTTTTTCTCCCTTTCAACTAAATTGTTTACTTTCTTAATGAAAGTATGCTACAGGATTCAATTTTAGACAATTCATTCAGTTTTATGTTTTGATTTCTTAAAAAAAAATTTTCCTTTATAAACATAAAAAAATATATGTTTTTTAAATTATTTTTAATGTTTTTTAAATTGCTTTTAATTAAGGCCATGTGTGCAATTTATGTTGTTTTTTCTTGTTCATTCCTCTCTTTGTGGATTTTTAATTTAATTTACAGAAATACTTCATTATTTCTGGACATTTATTGTTTGAAATTCAAACAATTGTCATCAATATTCTTTAATAATTGAAACTAAGACTTGTCCTTTGTCCTAAAAACTTGTCCTTTGTCTAATTTAGTTAAAAAGCATTGCTGGTTGTTAAAAATCATTTTTTACTTTGTCACTTATATGAGGGAACTTGATCATTTTGGTTTCGTTTCATTGATTTTAAAAATGTTATGTTACTATAGATATTAGGTTAATTTAAAAATTTTCTGGGGCTACTTAAATTTATATGTGTATATATATGAAACTTATATTATTTATCAGTGTTTAATGATTAATATTATACTTTTTACATACTGCAATTCTGTAGTGATTAACTACCATAATACAATTATTATCAGTCAATATAACTAAACTCCCAACATATTACTAAGCAAAATGATTTGATTTGATATGTTCAGTCATTTACCTGAATTAAGTTATCATTTCCGCAAGTGCTGAAGCCAGATATATCAACAATATCAAGTATTATTTTAAACGTGTGATTTTTAAAACTATTCATTTTATTTTAAGCTGCATCTGTGGACCGAAGCTGACAGTGGATGAATGCAGGTAGTTTGAATGAAACACTTTTGTTTCAAATTGATTTATTCTTCAAAAATAAAAAAAATTATAAAATAAATAATTATAATATTACTTTTAATACATTTCTAAATCAATTTTAATCAACATTAATTTTTTTCTTATAATTTATATTAAAAATCAAATGGCATATGTGTTGAAATTATTTTTAGTATTATTATTTTTGTTCTTTCAGCGTATGACCTTATTATGTTGAACATTTTATGTTTATTCATTTGAATCATTATTATGTTATTTTAGTTTACACATTAATTTAAAATATGTGAGATTTTATAATGGAGGAACTAACTTTTAAAATTGCGTTATTTTGTTACAGCATTTTATTTTGCATGTAAATAACGTGATTCGCTTTTAGCCAAATACATCTTCAAGTAATAATTTATAAAATAAATAACATTTTTGTTTGTTTTTTCTTATAATTTTATTTCTTTTTTACTGATGTAATTTTTAAATGCTTTCTATTTAAACATAACTACCCAGCTAGCTAATTTGTTTTAAATTCCACCTCTTATTGTTCCACTTATCTTATTCACGCTCTAATAATTTGAAGAATGATTATAATTGTTCAAGAAAATTTCAGTGTGGGATCAATATAATATTTACTATTAATGGCCTCTTATTGTTCCTTTTATCTTATTGACGCTCTAATAATTTGAAGAATGATTATAATTATTCAAGAAAATTTCATTGAGGGATCAATATAATATTTACTATTGATGGCCTCTTATTGTTCCACTTATCTTATTGACGCTCTAATAATTTGAAGAATGATTATAATTATTCAAGAAAATTTCAGTGAGGGATCAATATAATATTTACTATTAATGGCCTCTTATTGTTCCTCTTATCTTATTGACGCTCTAATAATTTGAAGAATGATTATAATTATTCAAGAAAATTTCAGTGAGGGATCAATATAATATTTACTATTAATGGCCTCTTATTGTTCCACTTATCTTATTGACGCTCTAATAATTTGAAGAATGTTTATAATTATTCAAGAAAATTTCAGTGAGGGATCAATATAATATTTACTATTAATGGCATCGTGCCATTATCAATCGTCATTTCAAAAATAAAATGTCTGACTTGACTGCATTTTGTAAGCTATAACATTAAAAACTTGCTTAATGACTACAAAATGGTAATTATCTGTTTAAAGATAATTTCTGTTGGTCATAAACCAAACACTCTATGTATTTTCAGTAATTTCTTCTAGTTTAAGTAAAACTTTTTTTCATTTATTATTTTAATTAAAACTATACATTTTTCATAACTGTTTGTACTTTCAGGAAACTCTGCTGGTGTTTCTCCTACGAAAACTTCATCAATAAATGCATCATCTGAGGGAAAGAAAGAGAATACTTCTCCACAAGGTTTTCATGAACCAGAAAACGCTGCTAACAATACTTCCAGTGCAGCAGAACATTCTTCAAAACCAGCTGCCAATGATACAAAAATAAAGAATTCACCACATTCACGAGACGAAAACTCCAAAAAGCACTCTGAAAATTTAGTTGAAAAATCAGATTCCTATGTTGTTGTATCTCCAAAACCGAAAGTGGCAACTCAACAGGTTACAGAAACTAATTATAATACATTAGCTAGGAATAAAGAGGAACACGCGAATCCGATTGGTGGAAGCGAAACTTCGAGTTTCCGCAGACCCGGCTGCTTCCAAGCGGTTCCTGTTAATATTCCTAGTGTACATTCCATGCCTCGAAAAAAAGAATTTTCCGAGGCTGATTCTTCACAGAAAAATGTGATATCTTTTCCTAATACTCGAGAACAAAGCGAATCAAGAAATGATGGGAATACCCAGCATACGACTGAACCGGACACAACAAAAGAGAATTCCAATACTTTACAAAAATTAAATTCAACTGAGCCACCAAAACAAACTAGCTATGTTAGCGGAATTATTAAAAATATTAATAAATCTTTCAGCGAACACAGTAAAGATTCTCCAACTGCACCTGTTAATTATAAAACAAATAGTATCAAACACCCTGGTACTGATGGTGTAGATAAAGATTTAAAATCTGCTACGAAGAGTGTTACAAAACCCGGTTTTCCTGTACCAGTTTCAAACAGTAATGCAAGCAATTCTAACAGACAGAGTGATTGTCCTCCCATTTTACCGAAAAAGGATAAAAATGCTGTGACTATGCGAAATATAATTACAAATCCCGATTGTAAAGCAAATCCTACTGTACCATTACATAATTACAGAACCGAAGAAGCTCGGAAGCAAGTAGGTGAAACAGAGAAGAGAAATGAGAAAAACAAACATTCTACTCCTCAAAACACACATTTTGAAAGGAAAGATCAATCTTCTTATTCGCAAAGTAAAATTGCTATTGAAAACACCAAAAATACAAAATTTTCCCAAAATTCACCCTCTAAGCATTCGGGTAATAATCCTGTAAAGCAAAATCATACTTCTGCGGGGAAATCATTTGGTCAAGATTCGAAACCAGATCATGCTGAGAGTAATAAAACGTGCTCATCTGATAAAAGATTTCAGAAAGTACTACCCCCAGTTGATAAATCATTTCATTTAAAACCCTGCACGACTCGAAAATCTCAAAGCTCCCCATCTCCTGAGCCTCCTCTCACCCCTGAACATAGCCATAATCTAGAGACTGAAAATTATAATGAAAAAAATAATAAAAACACTAGTCCTGCTTTGCCTCCGAGATGTTCGTCTAATCGCCTTGAAAATCGCACGTCTGATCCACCTGTCGTACCACCAAAAAGAACTACTAGTATGAACGAACCTGGTGAACCAATTAATCGAACGAATGTACAAGAACAAATTCACTCTAATAGGCCAACAATAGACCCATCAGCACAACCTAACAATGAAAATGATGCTGTGCAGAAAAAAGAATCGGAACTCTCTAAAATTTTAGTGGATATAGTACAGTCTAAGGAAGTGAATAATGAGTTGAATGTTCAAGTTCAAAAAGGTAACATGCCTGACCTTATTAGTCGGATGATCCCTGTTGAAAAGGATACGTTAATTATTCTTGAACAACCACCTAAAGTTCTGAAAAGTGTTAATTCTGAAGAGGATGAGCTTTCGAAAGACAATTTCTCTTTTAATAAAGAGAAGGAAAAAGATGGTACACCAGATTCTCCGAAACGCCAGTCTTGGTTCTTTGGATCTCATAAGAATTCTTTAGTCGTAAGTTTTTTTGAGATCATTTTAATTACAGTAGGGAACCGATTATCCGGAACGGTCGGGACCATCGCTGTTCCGGATAACTGATTTTTCCGGTTTTCTGAATCGCTACAAAAAGCCGTTTTTTTAATTGTTAAACCCAACTAAAAAAAAAAAAAGAAAGAAAGAAAATTGGAAATAATCCTAAAAATAAGAAAAAACAATGAAGTAATACACTAATGATTATTTCCAAAATGATGGTAAGGTAAACATCTTTAAAAAAGAAAAATGGTAAAATCTTGCGAGGGAAAAAAAAATTTTTTTTTTTAAAAATGGCGAGAAAATGTATCGAATTTTGTTCCGGTTTTTTAGTTTTCCGGTTTTCGGATAACGGGTTCTGTACTGTACGTCGTTTTATATAAACTTGCTATAAAAACTTATTTTTCAATGAATTAATTTCAATATTTGTGTGAGTATTCTACATGGTGCATAGCGTTTTTAAAAAGTACTCAAAGGAGCTAATTTTCGTTTTTTAAAAACCCTTTAAAGGTGCTTTTTTTATTGGGTTTTTTTAAAAAGTGCTTAATTTTCCCTTTTCGAATGAGATTTTTTTCTTAACTCTGTCGATTTTCGCTGCGTATTATGCGAAAGCGTACTTTTCACATTGTTCTATTCAACATTTTCACAATTCATTCAAACACAATGCATTTCAGCTTACTGTCGGTCTGTAGCGTATGCAAGCGCAAATCATTTTACACGTGTGATGAAATGCTTGCGTGTTCGCAATTGTGTCTACTGAGCTGGGTTAAGTGTGATTCTTGCGCTCTCATATGCAACTCTGCTGCATTTTGCAAGATATTCTCAATTTCAGGCTTCATTTTCCACCTTATGAGATCGAACTGAAAAATCTCTCGATCTTTTTATAGTGGCTAATATAATCGGAAAAAAGAGTTCGAGATCAGAAATTAGTTATTTTATTATGATCGTGTAAAGTCTTTGAAACCTTATTATAATTTTTTTAATGTATATGGTGTTTAAAAATATTCTTTTAGTGCTTAAAAAGTACTTAAAGGGTGCTTATTTTTTGTTGAAAGATTTGGTTACGCATCCTGTTCTAAATATATATCATAACTAAAATGTAATACATTATTAAATTATGTGTTCAATCTGCCAAAAAAGAAAACAAATCCTCCTTAATATCTTTTGATCTAATGATAAAACTTATATGTTGTACTACATTTAAAAAATAATAATGATAATTTATAGACTATCACAATTTCTTTATATGCATTTTTTTGCATTTCCCTCATTGTTATTGTTAATTTTTAAATTGGTAAATATTAAAAATCATTTTTACTTTTTTTCAAAGTGACTAAATGTATTCAAAATTAAGCTAGGAATTTCTTAATTGAATTCAGAGACTTTCTTTTTCATGTGTTGTAACAAAGTTTATTATTTTCTTTTTGGTACAGTTTCCAGTAATAGTTTCAAGAAACCCTGAGTTTGGATTTTCTATTGAAGGAGGCATTGGATCACCTAGAAATCCTGGAAAACCTCATGACAATGTAAGTGTGAAGTTGTGATATTAGTTACACATTAAAATTTGTAGATAAATGATTTCTATAATAATAATAAATAAATGTATAATTTTTAAATTGCATTCTGTAAAATCCTTATTGCTTCGAAAAATTTTTTAATGCAGTTTCTATTGTGTAATTCATTTACTAAAAATCTGAATTTTAAATTTTGGTTGCTTTGTTGTATTATTCATATTTTGTATTTATTACATTTAGTGTATTTTATTGTATTCATTACATTTACCTTATTAATTCTCTTTTTTTTTTTCAGGGTATATATGTTGCTCATGTTATAGCTGATGGACCTGCTAGTAATTTATTAAGACCTGGAGATAAAATATTACAAGTATGGCATTCTTTTATTTTATTATTTTATACTCTTACATATGTAAGATGTTTATTATTTTATACTCTTGCATATGTAAGATGTTCATATTATAGAATCCGCTTACTATTTTTGTTATAAAAAGTTATAATAAAGTCAAAAGTAAATTAGATTTTTAATGCTTAGCTTTCGTCATCTGTGTTAAAATTTACACAATAATGGATGCAGTTATTGCTTATGTATGCAAATAATCATAAATCTATATATTAATAGGCTAGCAATATTTTGTCTCGCTAAAAGCTCCCAAACTACGCAACAGAATTACACAAATAAGGTGTCGTTTTAAAGGTATTGTTATGTAGATGTGCAATAAGGTCTTAAATTATGAAAATTTCCTTTAATTAATTAATAAAATTGATAATTCAGTTTCAACCAATGAGAATTCAGCAAATCATTTTTCGGGTGGTTCGCATAAGCATTGTTTCCGTAAGCATCGTTTGATTTAAAGCATTTCTGAATTAATAGATTGATAAACAAAAATAAGAGTGGATAAAAAAAACGGAACTGAATTTCTTTAAAAAAGAATTCAATATCTTTAGTTCCTTTGATAAATTTTTAGTTTCATGATAAATTTTTTGTTTCGTTACAATAGAATGGCAATGACATCGTGCGAATATTCAAACCAAAACAAACGTGCAAATATTCAAATCAAAACAAACTTTCTACAATTATTTTGATTTGAGATTTAAAACGATATCTTAGTTATTTAGTTCTATTTTTACTTATTTAGTGCCTGCTACCTAAATAAAATGCCTGTTATCAGGCGTCGAAATATCTCTGGCAGACGTCAGAGAAATGAATGGCGGAATTCTAAACGGGAAAGCATTTCTTATTGAGATATATTCTCTGCTACAGCTCCAAATTTCTCAGCTACATGAAGAAAAGATAATCAAATTGTGAAGGGGGCAGAGAAGTGTATAAATTTCATTAAGTAATTGATTTCAATATCTGGCATTTTTATTTTAAAATTTAAATTTGTTAAAATGTTTTTATAAGATTGCGAAGCAATATGCAATGGAACTGCGAAGCAGTTCTGGGGGTTGGCGAGCAGGGGGCGGCCCCCTAGTATATTCTAAATGCAATACATTTTAATCATGCTAAAAATGGAATCGGTCTGAAAAAAATCAGGTTTTTTTTTTTCATGAGTGTTTGTTACCCTGCTGTTAATTTTTAATACTACTTTACACTTTTTATATTAAAGTTTTTTTTTTTTTTTTTTTTTTTTTTTTTTTTTTTTTTTTTTNTTTTTTTTTTTGAAAAAAAAACTATTTCTCAAAGTTTAACCCTTTTGTCTTAAACTTTACTTTAACGTCTAAAAACCTAGTGGGACACCCTGTGGCAGAATTTTTTTTCTGACTTTCTGCGACAAACTTCCCTAGCACTAATATTTTGCTTTAAGATACTTTTAATTATTACAATTACTAATTTAAAGTAACAGAAACGTTGTGTTTACAGAAGAAAGTATAGAATAAAAATTTTTAATTGTAAAAGTAATATTTTTTTAATTCGAATATTATATGCAATTTTCACGCATTTTGTGGGCGGAAAAATACATTCATTATTTTCTCTTTTGATTTTTGTAAATTATTACACTAATTAATTCGTAAATAAATAAAACGATATTAAATTAAAATGCGTACATAAATTAAAATTCGTAATTTGGCAGCAACTGCCAAAATAATGATCACGTATGATGCGAATAGGACTCTTTAAAAAAGAGATTCTCAAATAGGACTCTTTAAAAAACTAGATTCTCAAATAAGTGTATGTAAAATATGGAGTTCTTAAAGGGAAAAAAATGAAAGAAAGAACTTCATTTCTAGAGCGAACTATGTTTTAAACTTTCACGATTTCTGAATTTTTTATTTTAGATTATTATTTTGAAATTCTAGCTGAAGCCAGTCATCACATATTTTTTTATTAATATCTCAAATGAAAATAGAAAAGTCATGATTATTTCTTTCCTCTCTGATGCGCAAAAAAGACATCTTTGAAAAAAAAATTGTAGAAGAAAAACTCTTTTTTCAAGAAATTATGCAGAAAGGAAAACCAAACTTTTCCCAAATGAAAAATCCTTCTGCAAAAACTCTGTAATATTCTGCGAAAATGTCGCCGCAATTCTGCCACGGGGGTGGGACACTTATGTCCCAGCTCTCCAATTGTCCAAATAATTCCATTTTTTATTTTATTTTAGCAGAATATTGTTATTTTTACCTTATTTAATCTACTAAATTCGCAATTTGTCTTTTTATTGGAAAAGAGAAAAACTAGTCTTGAAAGGGTTAATACTTAATCCTAATTTTCCTTTTTTAATTATTATTCAAGGTTGATGGGAAAGATTTTACACATTTGGACCATAACAAAGCAGTAGCAGTTTTGCAGGAGTGTGGTGCTACCATATCACTAATGGTTTCTCGAGAATGAAGCAAGCAAAACATAATTTCCTAAAATTAAGCAAATCTGCAACTTCACATTGTGCCTTTGTGAAGTTTAGCTGGCCCGTATCTTCTAAAATTTATGGTGCTGCATTTAAACAAAATTCTAAATTTCCGGAGTTTTGATCTATGTTTTAGGTATAAAATGACGACTGGATGGTATACTACTGGATGGATATACTACTTATTTATAGATTTGATTTTTAAAAAAAATTTTAATATTTCTATTGTTTTAAAATATGTTTTTCTATAAGATATTTATAAAAAAATTACATTGGAAAATTGAACTGACTTATATCAGTTTTAGTTTTGATTCTTTAAAAAAAATCTACACTTCCATATAATTATAGTATACAGCAATTTTTTTTAAAGAAACTTAACTATTAAATTATTGGTGGTTATAGATCTAAGGAAATTATTTATAAAATGAACACACTGTGATGCAGATGTTTAATTTATTGTACAGAAAGCAAAAAAACTTTTACTATAAATAAATGGAGGTATATCATGCATGATTGTTCTTGAAACTAGCCACTTCATGTGATTTAGATCAATTATGAGTATCTTAAATATGGCTGCCAATTTCACATTATTAATTTTAATTTCTCTAATAGTATTTAATTGTTTCGAAAATTTTAATATAAAAGTAAACAATTATTTTTTGTGAAATAAAAATATAACAACGTATTATAAAAACTTATTTTCCATATGACATTTTATTTATGATAAATATTTTTAATAATTATTATTTATTTATTTATATTTGTTTAGTGAGCATAGCATGTATCAACTTTAAAGTCATTATAATTTGCTATGTTTGTTGCAACGAAGTCCTATATTTCAACAAAAACTAACCTTCAATGGCTGCCCAATTTATAGCTCAATTTGTTTAAGCGCTTATACTTATGACTCACTCACTTAATATTCCAGCTTTCAGTTGTTTGTTGGTACTGCGTAAAACAAATTTTATCTGCTTTTTAATGACATTAGATTTATGTAATCAGATAGTATTGAAACAATTTGGATTTTGCAAGTTTCTCTTATTTTAATCAAAAAAATCTTTTATTTTTTTTATATATATTTTTGAAAATTTTCCTAAATTGTGAAAGTTTTAGAAAATTCCCCGTCAAAATAATTGTTTCTCTGTTTATTATTATTTAAGTAATTAAGTTGTGACCTCTAAATAATTAAATAAACTCCATTTTTAATAATCGCTTTGAAATTTTCCTTTTTAAATATTTACACAATACAAATTATTATTTGCAGAAATTTAATGAATAAAAATATATTGTAATTATCTGTAATTGATGCAATATCTATCACTTTTTGAAATTATGAGTTCAAAATTACAATAAACATTGTAAAATCAAGTCCATTAAATGTCAGTCGTAGATTGAAAATATTGCAGACTATTTAAATCTATAGATGTTAGGGTAATATAGTTTTGTATTTTAGAGACTAAAGATACTTCCTTTGTCTAAAATATTTTAGACATTGTGAAATAGTTAGCATGAATTTATATTATTTCATAATGGAATTTTATTATTTCCGTGTTAGCAATTAGGTTGAAATTATTTTAAAGTTTGCTTTCTAATGAACAAAAAATTTTCGCTTTTTTTTCTTTAATAATCAAAAAATGTTTACTATGCCACATTCAATTTTTTACTAGCTCACAGTAAATCCAAAATTTAATTAGTTTTTAGTTACATTGACTTGACTATGTCAGTTTTGTTTCAGAATATTATAATGCATAAAAAAAATCTAACAAAACTTTTCTATTAATATCTATGGGAAAAAAATTGAGTTTTGTTTCTTAAAAATTTTCCCTTTTAAAATTTCTTTTTTGAGATTGGCAGTTATGATTTGAAGAAATGTTTACTCATTGCATTTATTTATTTATTACATTTTCTTTAATGTATATACGTTTCAACTGTGTCAATTAGCTGGATTTTGAAGTATGCTTAAGATGTTTTTGATGCTTTCAAGAAAATTGTTTTAAATAATGTTATGCTTTAGAAGTTTAATCTAAGTGATGAATAAGTGTATTTGTGTGAACTTCTGTGTTTTTGTGCTGTGTGTTTGGTGCTAATTGAATAGTGTGTCATGAGCTGTACATATTTGTATGAGTATATATAAAATATAATATATATCTATATATATATATTTGTAAAGAGAGATTTGTAGTTTTGACTGTTGACTATACTACTCAAAGACATTAGTAATAATGCAGAATGCATTTCACATTTGTAGATACAAGATAAAAACAATATTTGCTGTACCGTAACTGGTATAGTTGCTCAAAAATGTGTGGCAAAGTGTTTAAAATGTGAATACAATCTAATCACAGTTGTGTTTTGAAATAGGAATTATCATAGAAAAGTTAATTTTTAAGTCATGCATTTATTATTATTTATTGCTTTTTTGTGGAAGCATTACTTATGCCATATCAGATATCCTATAAATACCTTGGATTATAAATCACATATTTATGAAAATTAACAGTTAATAAAAGTTTGTCATAGTGTAAATATTATGAATAGTTTCAGACCCTGGGAGAAATTTTAAACTAATACCAAAATTTTTAAAAAAAATTGTAAGAATTTTTATAAGTGCTATGTTATATGACCAGCTCTTATATACATATATATAATAGTAGAAATCTGTTCTTAGTTATTTAAGTATGTTATTTGCTGATAATATCATGCTGACACAATAAAATTGTAAAAATAATTTTCCTATAATTTTGTAAATTATCTGGATACTGAAGTTATAGGTATACTACTGGATTTTGCCAGTTTCTCTTGATTTAATCAAATATTATTTATATATATATACATGCTTCAAAAAATTCCCTAAAATGGGAAAGATTTTTTTCCAAAAAATTCCTATAAAAATAAGTTTATTAACTCAGTTTATTGTTTGCTTAAATGTTTAAATGAATGTTAGAACTAAATAATGAAGTAAATCTTATTTATGATAATTAGTTTGAAACTTTTCTTTAATAACTGTTCTTTTTTATTCGAAACTAAATTAATGATTGTGTTATAATAATTTAAAATGAATTGAATATTTATTATTATATTTGATTTTACATTTCCTGTGTCTAAAATAATTTAGGTATAACAAAATAGTTAGTGTGAAATTGATATAATTTCATTAAATCTATTGGATGTTTTTCCTTTTCACGTTGGCAACAATGTATCTGCTCTATTCAATGGGTCTATTTATAAAATGAAGTAAAACCAAATCATTTTGGTTAACTGGATATTTTACAAATGCTTATGAGTTTCAGCTGTTGTATGGCTGCTAATTAAATTTATTAGATATTCATTAATTTTATTCGTTTGGTGTGAATTTTACTAGTTTATTTTTTTACGTGAAATCTCTTTTATTATTTGAAATTTATCTGCAGAATGAAACCTGAACTTTTTTTTGATATTAAAAAATAAGTAAAATGAAAATTCTGTTTTTTTATTTATTTATTTATTTTTTTTTTTTTTTGTTGCTATATCATTGTTTTTAAAACATAACTCTAAAAGCATCAAATTTACTTTAAATTATACACTTTTATATATAAACGTAATATACTCCCTTACACAAAAATAAACTGATATGCTATAAATTTTTAAGTAATCTCATCTTTATGTATAAATATTTATTCGAGACATTCCATTTTAGATTATTATTTTCGTTTTTTAAATTTTTATTGTTGCACAAAAGTAATCGTTAATGCAGTATAAAATGCATGGAAACTTTAGTAATAAGTGAATCAAAAATCAAAAAATTCTGGTGATTTATTTTATTTATATTGGTTTGTATTAAAATATTTGTGTTATTGTAACAAATACAGAATGATTCATCTGTTTGCACTGATATTTTTTACCTTTCTATTATTAATTTATTTTTAACATATTGCATTTATTTATTTATTTTATTGTTATTATTTATTTTTTGAATTTAATCCTATTCCTCTGCTAAATTGAATTAAAAAAGAAACAGCTTTAAGAAAATGCAGTAGACGCTTGATTAACCAGGTGGATCAAAAGTTAAAAAAAGTTTTAAAGCTTTTATTCAATTAAATATTATTATTAGCTAAAAGAAATTAACAGGAAGGTTTAAATAGATTTACAATTCATATAGTTAAAAAGGAAAATTGACAAATTTTACTAATTTGATTTCTTAACATCATTATTTCTACAGGTGTGCTTTCATTTTCTTGATCCATGTAATTAAGTAAGGACTCTATGTGTACTAATGCATTACTATGATGATGAGATGCATTTTTCTCATCTCTTTCTGGACAAATTTCTTGTTTCTTCCGGATGCAAAATCATCATCGCTTAAAATTTTGTGACATTCCAATGAGGAATCTTTGTTAATTCTTGTTCCACTACTTCTTTATTTAGAATAGTCCAACGTTATCAAATCTTCTAAGATTTTTCTTATCAAATGTACACTATTGTTGTCATCTGTTGGAATATCATTGTCAATAAAATGGCCCTTCACGATTTTGTAATTATGGCACTTTTTACTAATTTCCATGCTGCATCTAATTAATAAATAATGTTCGGGATTTTTTTCCCCAAATCATCCTATCCTTCCTCTACCAATTTAAACAGCAAATTTCTGTGATATATTGTTTTAAAATTTGGAATAACACTCTGATCTATGGGTTGAATATGAGCTGTCACATTTCGGAGCAGATATTTGACAAAGATATTCCCATCTGTTTTTAAAGTTTCTTCAGACAGGTGGCTAGTTGCATTGTCCAGCAAAAGAACAGTATTTTAAGGAAGACCAATATCTCCCAGATGCTTTCTTTTTAACTTTAGCGGCACAATCAGCACCTGATACAAGAATTACGACAACTCTCTGTTGGTAAAACCACGGCTTTATCTAAATCTTCATAAGTTGAAGTTTTCATTGTTTTTCTATCACACATTTCTTTTGGGCTATCTGAGGCACTTCTTTTGGGCTAACCAGCAACAGAACAGCTTTTTGAGGAAAACAGATATCTTCCAAATGCTCTTTGAAACAAAAGTTTGACTTTAACGGCAACTGATACAGGAATTCCTGTAGCTCTATGTTGGTAAAACCATGTATTTATCTAAATCTTCAAAGGCTGAGGCTTTCATCGTTTTTCGATTATGCATTTCTTTTTGACTATCTGAGGTTCTAAAAAATTCGAGTAGCTTTGTTCCTTTTTATAATGGCTTGCACAGTTTGATCACCAATCTCATATTCACTCATTAATGATCTGTTTGCACATTTTCTGATTTTGCAAAATTATTTCCTGCTTTTGATTTTTACTAAAAGCGAAACTTATGTGTTTTCAATAGTTAATACTACAAACAGAATGTAAAGAATGTGGCAGAAGTTTAATCTGAAGAACACTGAAACTGCGACCACGATTGAAACATATCTCATCTTGATCCTGCCCCAACAACATTCTAGATCCGTTGGCTTACTTGAGGTCAGCTGAACAACTTCAATACAATAGGAAGGAAGGGTGAAGAAAAATGCAGTCTTCCCGCACATTTTAACAGCCACAATCATCATTTCACTTCTTTTTTCAATGGGCGTCCCGAATAATCTGATCTTGGTTAATTCTGAGTCTACTTGTACATCAGTTATTAATAAAATTGCATATTTTAAATTTTTAGTATTTAAATAATATCTTAACATGAATTTAAAACATATCACTACATTAAAGTAAGTTTCAATTAAGATAATTCACACAGTTAACATAATGAATCCCTTTTAATAATTCACCTTGCAAATTTGATTAAACTGAAAATGATGGAATGATATGTAAATAGTAAAAATGTTTAATATTGTAAATTAAATAAATTTTTTTCAATTTATTTGATTCAAATGTAGAAATAAGTGGAATTGAGTGTCATATTGAATACTTTTTTTTCATAAGATAATTTACAAGAATAAAGAACAAATAAGTGTGCCAAAATGAATTTAGTGTATGTATTGTCATCTCATTAAAAAAATGAATAAAATTTAAAGACAAATTAATAAATATTTATGTCCATTTTGTACAAAAACTACATAAAAGTA